CTCGGGGTGGCGAGGTACAGTGGGGGGAACTCGGGCCAAGGAGGCCCCAAAGCAAGGCTTTTAGTGCATGATTTCCTTTTACAACTTGACCAATTAGGTCTGCACTGCAAGGTGAAAATAGGCAACCGCTGTGAGTCTTTATATATATATATATAAAAATAATATATATATATGTATGGTTGTTGGCAAGAGCCTGTGGGAATCACAAACAATGTCACGACCCACAATTCGACGGCCAGGGTGAGGATGGATTGGCCTTGACTGAAAGGAGATGGAACGAGGTGTCCAACCTCCGGGAGGCCTCACTGGTGTTCCAAGTCGACACCTTGGTCATTGGAGCTAAAGGTTTCAATTGCATGGCAACTGTGTGAAATATGTTGTTTTTCCTGCTTGGTGATGTCGGTGTCCAGATTGATTCTGGTGCAATCTTGGAGGTTCTGGCAAGAAGTGGATGTGATGTGAACCGGTCTCAGTGCGACTTAAACTTCAGCCTGAATGGTGCCTGGTCATGCTTTGTGTGTGATGGTAAAAGATCACTTCTGTGTTTTGGTGCTGGCTACCACAGGCCAGAGCCACTGGTGCCACGGACACATCTACCGCTTTCCTGGCGCCATTTGGACTGAGCTGTATTGGCAACAACGGATACTAGCAGAAACTCCAAGAGAACCGGCTACTCGAACACCACAATCAGAATCATGCTGAACATGTGTCCTTTTCTTTCGTGAGATAAGACTGCGACCTTTAGAATGGGTGTAAATTTGTTGATAACGTTTTGGAATGCAAAGGCAAAGGAATCACATATATTTATGCCAGGCTTGGTTGTGTAGTTGTGCGCTACCGACATTTGCGACAAGCTGTTTGGGGTAGCGAGCCTGTAACGGAACATCCGGCATGTTTAATTGGACACTGAGTCACCACATTCTTTGAGAGCCAGCAGGTTTCTAGAAACTATAGAAACAGGGCTAAGATTCATGCTGGTGGCTAGTGACTGGACGCTGATGAGCCAAAGGCAAAAAAACACATGTTAAGTCTCACAACCACTCACAGAGGAAAGCATAACATATCGAAGTTACACGTCGTCCACATGACTTTGAGCGTGACATCCCTGGACATCAATAATAGCAATGGAAAGCTGCTCCCAAGTTCTTTTGGCTTGAAGTTGCTTGAGGGGTTCGTCAGGTAGTTCGGACGCTGCGGCTTAGTTGTCGTCTGAAGCTTACTTTATTTGTGCGTTCTGGACAGGCAAGTGGACAGGCAAGAAGAACTTTGCAAGAAATGCCACTGACAAGTCTTTGCATATCAATTTCTATTTTACTTGGACGAGACTACTGGGGTGTGGAGCAGGCAGCTGGATCCAAGGTGGAAGTCTACGGGTGCAGATCGATTTCCGACCAAGATTCTTCGAGTGCAAGGAGGAGGCAATGGATGCATGAAATTCTGCAGGATTTATCACTTTCTTGGCATCGGAACCACCGCTTCTCAATTTGTTCACATAGCTGGAGTGGATTGAATTACCAACCCGCTCATACTGCTGTCAATGCTGTCCACTGTCAGGAACGAGCAAAGATGCTTTCACCTGAAGAGGAAGATGAGGCATATTATCAGTCAAGTAGCCTGGTTGTACAATACAATGTTGTACAATGTTGTACATGGAAGCATTGGAGCATTTTACTAGCAACTGTTCGCATGAATCAAGTCTTCCCAAAGTCTTCGTAAGCTCCAGTGGCTGGAAGTGTTTGCACCTTTGGTAAGCAAATGATGCCATGGCAACATGTATGAGTCCTCTGGCAGTTGTATCGGGTGACTGCTGGAACGGAAGAGGCGGACTGCTGTGAACCTTCTGTGAAAACGTATACAAGCTTGCAATCCGATTTTTGCCCGCAAATTTGTCTGAGGATGAACAAAGAGAGGCTTTGATGTTCCAAGTGCTGCACTTACAACATGTAATTTGCTGCTATCCACAGAGATGTGCAGGTAATAGTGTGATTAAGTTGCTGTTATCATTGGCAAGACTCTGAGGAACAGATCGAAAAGAAGAAGGCTGATGCAGAGCGGCTCAGCATCGACATCATGGGGAAAATGAAGGCACGGACATAGTGCAACGTGCTCGTCATTCGTGGCTCACATTGATTCAGGCCAGGCAACAAATCCTCAGTGCAGATGAGGCCATTGAACGTGCCAAGAGGACCGAGGGATACCGAGGTTGGGATACCGAATGGGCGGTGCATGCAAAAGCGACTCATGCGACTGACCGTTCGACAGCATGCAGGATTCGACACATGCGAGATCCCGAGGCGGTTCGACGGCTCTTCATTCGGATGATTGCTCTGCAGATGCTACATGTTCTTTTTTTTCTGCCAAAGCAATTTTGGCTTCCTTCATTAGGAGGACTGCTTCGGCCTGAAGCCTCTTTGTAATGTCGGACGTTGAATCTCCAGATGATGATGGATTTGCTATGTCACCTTTGATATCTTCAGGAGTGTTTGCCCAAAGCATTGCATTCCATGACTTGATAGCAAGCATCATGAGAGCCATTGGCTGGACTATGGCATCCCAGATCTTGAGCTTTTACGTGCTGTTCTTCTCAGTTGCCCTTGAACTATCACATACCTGTCAGCCGGGTGCTTGCAGCGGATTCTTTATTCCTCTTCTTATTTCGTATGTTCTTCCAATTCTCGGCTTGTCATCCTTGATTGTCTTTGTGTGCTACTTGCTCTTTTTTCCCGAAAGCATTGCGAAGGGTTCTTCCGGAAAATCCCTTGAAGACTGACACTTCGACACTTACACTTACACACTGACACTTCCACCACACTTGCACTACAACATGAACGCTATACGCACCCCAGTGTAAGTGGAAGAGCGAAAGCATCCAAGTGCAAAGTATGCAAGTGTCAAAGTATGCAAGTGTAAGTATGCAAGTGTAATGATGCAAGTGCAATGATGAGTATGCAAGCATGCAATGAGTATGCAAGCATGCAATGAGTAGGCAAGTGTGAGCATGGAAAACTAGCACGGGAGATGTCCTAATGAAAAAACATGTCCCCACTTTATAAATTCTCCCTTAAAGGCGGACGGTGGGACGAACAGCGTCAACCGAAAATGCAACCCTCTGCGGAGATCGTGCGTGTCGAGTGCGCGAAATGCAGGC